TGTTAACACTAAAATTGTTTTAGCAACACTATATCTAGACAAAATTTATACTATTGTTAACACTAAAATTGTTTTAGCAACACTATATCTAGACAAAATTTATACTATTGTTAACACTAAAATTGTTTTAGCAACACTATATCTAGACATTTCACACAAACAAATATATCAGTTGAAAAAATATAAAGTAAAATCAAATCACATATTCCAGTAAACGTCAATCACAAGGACCCACCTTTTCGCTGTAAATACTGTCTTTTCATAATAATAACGTTCAGAGAAATTAACCAACATGGAATCATAACGATGGCTGCAGCAACGATATGCTAGAATTCACTTGCATTTGGAATTACTAGGTTTATTTACACTGAGCAACTCTTCATACAGTACCAAATATCGTATAAGCCACAATGATTCAACTGTCTCGTTCTGATTACTTATTAACTCATGAGTGTCTGCAGGAATAGATTTTAAACACCTATTGCCAAACTAATGGAACATTTAGTAATTACCTACTAACTATAGAGAATGAGAAGGTAGGAAACAGTTCACAGCTTGGGTTATTGCCAGGCTTTTTCATGTTGACGCTGACAGTCAACAAGTGAGACACTCTCTAACATTTCTCCAGAACATTTCTGGCATCTAGGTCAGTAGGGCAAGATAACACTTCCGATGTTTGAAGCATGAAAACGAACGTAAGGATACTTCGTTCTTTGGCTTTTAATTTGTCGTATACCGCAAAGCTGCACAATGGGCTATCTGTGCTCTGCCCACCGGCAAGTATCAAAACTCGATTTTTAGCCCTGTAAGGTCACAGACTTACCGCTGAGCCAACGGGAATCACTCCTTTGAAACCCAAGAAGACAGGTTTACTTTTATACTGCGAGCGTTGTTGTGACCCTGATGCAAATATAAATCGCACAACACACGCTGGCAGCCGCCCATAAGATTCCAAGAGATCTCGAAGTTAATAGAAAGAAAAGTATCGACGAGAGACTATAGTTATCAAAAGGACGACGATTCGAAAAACACTGATAAGTCTGCTGAAAACTAACAACAAAAAATGCAAGTAATCTCTATAGGTAGAGGGAACAACCGTTTTCTAAACCTGTGCGATAAAACAAAGTATCACCTGCCACGCCTTCCCACTCGAGATCCAAATTCATTGTTTATCTTAATTTGGTGTGCGCCTGCGTGACATTGTCTATCAGTAAAATAAGGAATTATCAAGATACGTAAACAAGACGTTTATATTATTTAGTGATAACATTACCATAAAAAAATCGCTGTTCCTAACTGCCACTAATACTTTATTCATACAGGATTTTGTCTGGAAACAAAACTACGCTTTAAGTTTTAAATCACAATCTCGCGCGCGCGAGCGTCTGTGTACGGACCATCCTAACGTAACGAAATTCACAAAGGTAGTCGATTAATTTCTGGTCTCAGTAGAATTACCCGTTCCATTTCAAACCTGCACAAAAACACTCACAAAACTACATATCAACAACCCATATACTGCACAAAAACACTCACAAAACTACATATCAACAACCCATATACATCCAATCCTACTCAATAACAACCATACATTCCTACAAAAAACACAAATTACAGTTAACATAAAAGAGCACACACACAACATACCTTATTGCTGAAAACATACCAAAAAACATAATTAGTGATGAAAGTGCACTAACACCTATGAACATACAGAAACAGTCTATAACTGCAAACTTCATTAAATACCAAAATGTTACAAAACCATGGGTAATTCAAAAACATCTCAATCTCCATAAGATAACACATAAGATAACATTATTTTATGTTGAAATGAACAAAATAAACAAATAGCAATTACAAATAATACGTACAGAACTATTTAAAAACACCACAAGCTGTAAAATTACTGGAAAAAAGTTTGACTATCTTAAAGGTCGCATGAAGATAATCTCCAAATATATAAATTTCATTCTAAATAAAACAGTAATAAAAACGATTTTCCAGATTTAGTTTGCGATGGGCCACAACGCACATCTAGTGATATAAACAACGAAAGTATGTTCAGGAACATTGTACATATCTAAGTTGTTTTTGTTCTAATGCATACCAATTGAAATTAAATATATATAATAATCATTAGGAACTTTGAATATTGCAACTGTTCCATTTCATGTTTTGGGTATTCAACATTTCGAGAGTAATATTGAATTTGTATTTGGGATCCTACGACATCGACTTTTTCTTTTTTTTTTACCGTGCAGAGAACACAAACGTGTCCTTTTTTTTTCTACCCCCACCAGAATAAATAATGCCACTTCGTTAAGAACGTGCAATATGGGGAAGATGGACGCATCCTGAAAGGCCTTGAGAAGATTCAGGAAGAAAAACAACTTAACTGAAAGAAAAAAAACAAAAAAAAAACGTTTTGTGAAATGTATAATGCGACTATACCAACAGTAATATAATCAGCACTCGTATAACAGACCACAAAAATGTGGATAATGGGGTGGGAGTGACGAGGGGGGTCCACGATCTAAAGTTTGAGAACCACTGGTTTAAATCGTTGAAGTAAAGCGAAACAAATGTGCATATAAAATTTAGCAGCACCAAGGTATTGCTACATACGTTTTATTAAATATACAAACGCAAGAGAAAACATTTGCGTCCCATATTTAATGAAGCCCAAATCGTCATTTATCTAGTAAAAACGTACGAGGCACGAAAGCTATTCCTCTTTGACATACTGATCCGTTGCCTAGTTACTGCTGTAGAAGAGTTAAAGAACGAAGCTCCCAGGCTTTACAGTTAAAACTAACTCAAAAGGACAGATAGCGATCATCTGTTTGATTTGATGGTGGCCTGTTGCCCAACCCAATTCCACACCCTGCTATGAAAATGTCTTGTGTTTAGCTAACTTCCAGCCCTTATACATTCATCCAAAATACCTTATTTCTTGTCCAGTCCGCTTTGATATATATTTGTTTTAATTTTATCGATACAGTAAAAGTTCTAGAAGGCAATAGGTTGCCCTCATTTTTACAATAAGAAAGTCCACACTTTATACCTGCTGTTGATCTTCGGGAATGGTTTTCGAACGAGTTCAGTTCTACACAATTTTTGAAGGCGTTTCTATAATGGTGCCATTTGGGCAGCTGGATGATCACGGTTGGCGATATGCTCAATACTCAAGCAAAGCCTTCCCATTTTTTTTTCCAATGCGCAGCTTTCCAGATAAGGCAGTATTTTCATGAAATATGGATATCCTGCTCATTCAGCCGGAGTCACGAAACGACGGCTTGTTGGTCAGAGTATTACCACTCTCCCGTGACCAGACCAATAGACGAAGATGGTCTATGGCTGATGTTTTGAACGCTTCCTGAACAACCAACTTTCTATGCCAGGAATGGGGTGCAATCCCACAGGTCCAGATTTAAGATCTTACAAATATAATATAGGGGCGGTCAAAGGGTTTGATGTTAGAGGAGGAGGCTAGGATTTCATTTATTTATACCAAATTAAGTCACCCCTTCTAACTTGTTTGAACGAATTGGTTTCAACTTGGAGGAGTCAAATGTAGACCAAACATAAAATTTTTCTTGCTGTGGAGGTGGTTTATTTCATTTTCGCGGTTTATTTATAAGTTGTCTTCTGCTATGTGTATAGTCTGTCACTAACCTCTTCCGAAGGCCTATTAAGTTGTTACGTTCTTACTTGGGCACCTTGATTAAGTGATGTTTGAAGACCAGCGTGACTGTTAACTATCACTAAGGTGACATCTTAGAAAATTCTACACTAAAGTTTTATTGTTTTTTTTAAGTAATCACTAAACCTTCCTTTGCAACAGTGAACAAAATTATGTAAGATAATATTGGGTCATGTCATCACGACCAGTGTGTTATTAATGAAGGCATTTAGTGCCAAATGTTTATGCCTGTGGTACCTTGAGTTGTAAGAGAGTAAATAAAATGAGTATTTGAAATATTAACAGCATAAGGACCTAAAGAAATGTCTTTAAAATTGTAGAGAAATCTTTTTAAAGTCTCATAGAATGATTTCTAATAAAAAAAATATGGCGAGCATTTCCAGATCCACGATTGAGAGCATATGGTTTCTCGCGAAGTCCAGTTTATTGAAACAAAACTGCCAGAATATATTAAAAAACAAGAGCAAATTTGGGAAGTAAATTTTTAATAGTTTATATATTTATATACCAGATTATTAACTTTCATTATAACTATACGTCGTCACAATAAAACAGATGCAAGTCGAAGAAGGTCTCGATGTAGAAGTCGAAACGTTGTCCTACCCTAGAAATAGGCGGGAGTAGTCCATTAAATCGGAAACTAATATGTTTTAAACACTACCTAAAATACCCGTGAAACGTTTTTTATTATTCTATAGAGGACAATTAAACAAATTATACTTTGATTTGGCTGTGGCGAGTTTTCTACATAACTAGTTGGAACATTTAATAATCTCTAGAAAGATCGGTCTTAAATCACTTTTACTTAAGATGGTCTTTAGGGTAACTATTTTTGATTCAATTTAGAGTTACTAGTCTTAACACTTTTCTTTAGGATTATCCATGTATTTAGTTTTGAGATGGTGTTCGTGATAATTTGTTACTTTTGTTTTCTTTTACTAATAGGATCAGGCGTGACCTAGTGGTTGGAGTGCTTGGACGGTGAATCCAAGGGTTCGTGATTTCCGGCCAGTTGCCACAAAAATGTACTTGTCCCCATGTGCGTTATAAAGGTGACGGCCAGATCCCTCTATTCAGTCAGACAAGAGTAGCCTAAGTGTTAATTTCGTTATTTTTTAATTTTTTTTACGAAAACAATGACTAAGTGTACGCAATGACGAAAACGCTTATAGGAAAAAAGTCACTGTTGGGGGAAGGGCTGAATGACGCGCGCCAAATTCTTGGTTGTGTTGACGGATATACCGATTATCTTTGGTGTGCACATAATTATATTATTTTAGCATTGTCTTAGTCTTTTTTATTATTAGCCTGTTCCTTGTTCAAATAGATGTTGACTTCCTATTGTTACATATTAGAATTTCAAATGATCTGAAACCGAGTTAAATGATACTTTAAATTTAGTAGTTAAATTGTACTTTGGATTTAGTAGTTAAATTAAAGCCGATATATAGTCAGTTTATGATACTTGCCACCAAGATTGATACACACAGTTTTCTTTTTTAACACAAATACGTTTTAATATACACACAGGAATATAATTTACAATAACAGTTATTACAAACAATGATTTACAAACAAAAGTTTCAAAAATTACAAGCAATATAAAGTTTTCTGTCTAGGCTGGAACTTCCTTGATATCTTATCGAGGGTTCACGATGAGTGAGTTAATTACGAGTTGAAGTAGGTATGATTCGCTTCTCGGGAAGCTAGCTAGCTTTGTTCTTCGTTATTTACCAGCCACACACGCCGATATTTTTCCTACCAGTGACGTTAGGTAATGTTTTCGTAAAAATACTAATGTCCGATGAGAATCCACTGAAGTTAAACGACTTATAATGTTCGAACTTTGTGAAGGTTCCTGTTCAAATATCTGAAGTTTTCCGATTGGTAAGCGTTATAACAATCGCAGTTATAGCTTCCGAAGTTTATAGCACACTGACTATAGCGAACTAATAATAGATACTCTTTTTTTTTTGGCGCGTCGCATTGGTTATATTTATATGCGTGTGGAGGCATTCTAGAAAATTCAGATTACGTAACAATACCAATTTAAGCGTTTACGTACATACATATATTGTTGATTCTTACTAACGAGAATCTTCTACAACTTTGGAAAATAGGCGGGAGTTTCGCAATACACATTCAACAGTATAAGCTATGTATGTTTCTAAATATAAACTTAATGTAAACAAGCGTCGATATTAAAATA